TGTTGCCAGGTTCGGCTATGAAGATATTTACATCTTTCAGGTAGTAATGCCTGAGTACATGGATTATCACTGTGAGAAGATTGGAGAGATAAACGACACAAGAAATTCCCTACAAATCAAATGTTAACCAGAACAAACTGTGTATATAGTACTCAAGAAGCTAAAATATACCGCATTATATTTGAAGCATCCGTGAATCCTAGAAGCTTCACACTTTTCTCAGGTTTGAACTTTACAGCCTCCCACTCAGCAGAGGATATAGGAACTACTTGAGGTCCATACCGAAACCCTTTAATCCTTTGTTCTGGTGGCACAACTTTGTTAGGGTCTTCTATGCTTTTATATTCATAATCAACCTTGATTTCATGAGTGGCAAACTTGTCTGTAGTAGGAGCCTTCTCAGAGTACTTTTTTAGAGTGGGAAACTTCTCTTCAGATGTTTTCTTGTAAACCCATACCTAGTAAGAAAAACATTTATTAGAGACTAAACATCCGCACCAAACTATTTCCAAAATGGAATAGGAAGGGAAAGAAAAGGAAAAATAGATGTACGCATAAAATTAGCAGATTAGGGACCAAAGGGGATATACATTAGGTGTACACTTCTAAAGTTAATATCCTACTCTTTTGCTAGACTCGTATAAAATCCTTACAACCTCCATAGATGGTCATCAGATAAAACAGCTTCCAGATGAGAGTAAATTACCCAATCTGATTATCACAAAATGTGCTGATTCTTTAAAAATTGACATTCTGGGAGGATAGTTTTATTGACACTATATATGACAGACTCCTGAGAATAATCATAAAGAGGTAATGCAAAGACAATCAGTCAAGATTTATTAGGAATAAAGGCATTTGTTACATTTCAAACCAGATGTAGAGAAATTCCTCCTTTTCTTCAAACAAATCAAGGAAAATCACAACCTAAGTTCAATGGACATTTCAGACATTTGACTAGGATTTCTTTTCCTTGACGAAGTAATAGCTGGAAGGTTTGAAACAGAGAAAATTACTTTATAGCCTATAATGAAAAAAACAAAAAGGTAAAAGACACAATTCTGAGTCACGTTGCAGAGACACAGACAGTTTGGTCTGTCTCACTTGGAAAAAATTCAGTAAATAGGGGAAATTCAAAGAAAAAAGCTTTTTTTTTTTGTCAGTAGAAAAAGGTAAAGAAACTACATTGGAAAAAAAAGAGAGTAAATCAGCATAAGTTTCTTAATTCTCACCTTGATCTTCAATTGTGAGCTTATTTCAAAATCACCTCTGTATATCGTGACTGGCGATATATTACGAGTTCTAAGTGCTCCTAACAAAGAAGTTGGATTTTCCACATATACTACTTTTGAGGAAGATTTATTCGAGAATACTGATAATAGAACATCATTTTCTTTCATAACTCTCATATTCGTTTCCAAATCTTGTTTCATTCTAACAATTACGCAGTCCATCTTCATGCCTTGTGCAGCCATCTGTGTAGCAATGGTGTTTACTTGATCTCCTTTTGTTCCTTCAAATGGATCTTTAATGGGAGAAATAGCATTTGTAATAAGGCAAAGACGTTTCTTCCCCTTGTTGGTTTGTCCAAAC